TCCACTTCCTAGATATATTCAGAAAGATGATTCTAAAGAGAGAAATAATGATAACTGAGTACTAAGGTGGAAAAATGTCATACTTCTATTTGATGTTTTTTAAAATTCCTTTAATGAATATTTTACTAATATATTCAATTTGACAAAAAATTCAAAACTAATTACTGCAAAGCTGTTGCTGAATATCAGAATGTAAAAACAAAGAACAAACAAACGAATCCTACAGATATATTCAGGACTAAGCACCAAAATAATTTCATTAACTTCCAGTTCTGTGATTCTGGTTTTCTTATGGGAGATGTTAGGATTCATTTTCAGCAGATCTTTCTGAGATAAATACCCAAGAACATGAATTGGTAACAAACCATAACCTGTCGCTCCTTACTGACTGAACAAACCCATCTCGTTATGGTACCAAAAACTTCTCCTTCACCCCAACTTAGCAATTCTTATTTCAATCTCTGAGGTTTTTTTCTGAATAACAGATTTTTTCACCAAACATCTCTAAATGCATATTTTGCCACAATACCTGCTGAGGTTACTTTTCTTTTCTAGGTCAAAGTAGTTCCTCATATTTTTATGACAAGAAATAAACCAAATGAAATTTTTAAAGCTCTAAGATCTGTAGAAAAAGATGTGCAAGTTCTTAGGAGAAACTTCCCTGGAAATCTGAAATTTGTGAGAGCTGACTTGTGGCATGCACTAATAAAATGTGTGGAGACTTTGGCACACAGGAACACATGGATTGGTCTGAGTGTCACGGAGCAAAAGATCACAAGGCCACTTTTGTCGGGGAAAGGTGCTGACAAGAAGGCTGTATTCATGAGTCCTTCCCAGAGGCTTTGTAAAACGTGGGATGTCTCCTTGCTGAGCTTCATTCATGTATAAAACTGAAATCCTATTTCCAAATCTCCATGTGTGATGGCAGTCCTAGTTACTTCTGCTGTATTGTTGCTCCCTATAAACAGAGGGCTTTATGCATATCAGGTCAAAGTAGAACTTTAAATATTCATCTCTGATTATTTTGTTCATTTCTGACATCCCAGCAAGCTATGGAAAACCTCATTGGTAGAGGCAGAAGAAAACAGCAAACAAAGCTATCTATAATCTTTTCCTCTGAAAAATACAGCAAACATTATATGTGGGAACAGTTATTTATGCCAGTCAAAAAGAGCAAAGGGACAATAGCCATTTTATCCTTGACTCTCACAGACACCCTAAATTCATAGACAAACAACACACACAAGATGAATGAGGCTTAGACATCAAAGCATGCAAATTAACACTAATTAATGCCCACATTCTTTTCCAAATAGGTTGATGAACCTATCTGTCTGCCAGGCATAAGTACTGACGTTTTCTTGCTGTATATATGCTGCCATTGGGAGCTTGAGCATACAGAATTTGAGAAATAGAGAAAATAAATCAAGAATTTATGATGCGAACTCATAGTGCATATCCTACTGAAACACTACTGCTGCACTGTCACTGAAAGGCTGCTATTGCAGTTGATATTAAGCAGGATTCAGAATGTAAAGATAGGAAATTCATCAATGCATGGCCATGAGAAACTACTGTAGAGTGAAGCCATTTGAATGCCTAGTAAGAAAAGAAGGTTGTAGCAGTAAACACAATAAGACTTCTGATATTCTTTTCCATAAACTAACCTCCAGGCTTTTACCAGAAGTAATGAATTAGACATCCAGATAAGGTCTCAGATAAGGCATCAAATCAGAGTGGGGTAACAAGGCACAGGCAGCTTTAAACCTCCCTCCTTCATTAACAGTGAAGGTATTCACATTTTCATGCTGTGTACTACAACTTCTTTTGCCTGAAAAATAAACTGTGATTTTAATTTACAAAACAGTGACTTTAATTTACAAACTACCCTAATTTCACAGAGTTCTAGCACCCCTTTGCTTATTATGTTTAAACCTTCAGCTGTACTAATCTATTTGGAAAAGCCTTGCAATAAAAAGTTTGTTCCACACTTCCTTCATTGTACCCCTCACATACCACTTGACCAAAACCCAATTGGGAATGAGTGAAAAGAACAGGGGAAAGAAAATGACAGAAGACGCTAATTGCCATATCAGTGCTAAGAAACATTAGCTCACTTGTATTCCCCACCCTCAACAGACAGTTTTGGAGACTGATAACATCATTTTCCTAAAATAAGATGGAAGATATGGAAAATAAGCATTCTTTGAATCGCAAAGGACACAACAGTATCCAGGATCTTGCCAGAAATTCTAATGCTGTGGTTTCACAAGAAAACTCTAAAGCTGCTCTGTGATGTCAGTCTAAGGAAACAAAAATATCTTCAATTATGGCTGAAACTGGGCTGTGACAGAAGTCATAGCAGTGACTACCAAGAAGTATTACAGGGAGGATGCTGCACTAATGGGTGACCACTGTCCACAAGCTCAAGTGCAGAATGGCATTTACCCACAGACAAGCTTACATGTAAAATGAGATCTGATTACTGTGTTTCCAAAGTCTGTCAGTTTGTCTGTATACTATAGATGGGAAGAGTTTCACTCACTCCTTGTACAGGAGTGTTAGGAGCGTGCCAGACCTTGATTTGCAGGAATTATCCGAAGAATAAGTCAATAGTGATATCACAGTTAGTCTTTGGCCTTTCACCATGAAAAAGCCTCAACCGAAACAAATCCCAAAACAAAACAATGTGCTGATAGTTTTAAGGTGGGAGTGCCTAGGAATTATTATCCATAACCTGGAATTTCTTAGTTCTGCATGTGGGCAGTCAATGTGTCAGAATAATCTCGATGAAGATGTTCTTGTATTCACTTCACCTTACCTGTACTTCGTTGTTAGTCACACTTTCCTGTTCAGCCTTGCCTTAAGCAGAAGGGAATTTGTGTCTCTGTTTGAGCTTGTACCATCTCTAGCAGAGATATTGTATCAAACATCATTGGTTCCCTGGCTTAATTTTTAGGAGGCAATTTCTTCTTCTCCTACAACTACAACTGCAGTTTCAGATTAGCCACAGCTCTGAACCCTCCCCTCCAATGAGTCTGGGAACAACCAGACAGGCCAATTTGGAAAGAAACCCTAATCCATTCTTTGTTCAACAGGAAGGAAACCAAAGTCTGCATACCAAAGCTTTATTTCAGAAGACCAAACATCAGCAGTTTTACAGTCATCTTTAATTTCCCATTTGGTTTAAGGGGAAAAAAATACTATCCAAAACAATTATTGCCCAGAACAAAGCTCTCAAAGGGCTTTCCATCTCTGAAACAGCCTTGCTAATGTTCCATTCTCAGTGGTCTGTCCTCCTTTTCTTTATGACTTTCCTGCACACTCATTTTCAATTAAATTAAACCTTCCTATTTAGTTTTTTTATACTGTCATTTTGTATGAGAAATACCAGGAAGAATTTTTTAAGAGACTCTGAAAACCTTTCTGTTCATCTGAGTCACCATTCTTCATGGGGCACCCTGAGCTGCATTCTCAGGAGCTGGCTGCAGGCATCCAGGCTCCGTCCCCTCCTTCCTGAGTTATTAGCTGCGTTAATCCAGCTTTGCAGTGCCTGTGGTGCTGCTGGTTACATGTATGTCAGGCCTTTCCCAGTCCTTTAATTCCATTTGCAGAAGACTGGCCTAGACCCTGCAGAGTACAGGAAAGTGTCAGGGAAATGTAACATATTTATAGCCAAGTTCTCATGTCGCTTATGGTGCCTCAATAAATATTTCATTATTTACTGCTTCAAGGCCCACTGGTACATTAAAAATGAGATCCCATGGGCAGCTGAAGCAATGAAGACTGATTTCCTACAGCTTCATCCCTTCTTTAAATTCGCTGGTACCCTCTAGCAGTGAAGGCTCAGTGGGATCCCATGGTCTTTATTTTTCTCTTGTTGCATGAAATTTGTAAAAAGGGGCTATTGTTAGACAGCTGCTGCACAAATTTGGGTACAACTGGCTAATGGATTTATTTGTTTGGGGGTAGAGGTTTGGTATATAGATGGATAGCATGATACAGATTTTATCTCCTTAGAACAGAGATTAAAATAGTTCTCTGGTACTTCAGATATCCATCCTAGGGCAACCAAAGAGTAAAGAAGCTAAGCTGTTACCCAGTATGCCATTCAGTGCCAGAGATGGAATACAGTAAAATGAATATCCCAGACTGAAAAAAAAATAAATAAACAGGACCAAGCCACACTTGCTAAGAGAATATGTCAATGTTTAACACTGAGCATGAATCATAAGTTGTAAAGTGCTTACTGTCAACAGATGAAGCTGGGAAATTGGGTGTTCAGTGGAGCACAGCAGGACCTCTGTAATCAGAGTGCATAATCTAAAACACATCACTGCAAAGTGAGGAGGGGGATGTGACTAACTCAAGGAGATGGACATTGTTCATTTCAGCTGTCAGGATGAGTAAGTAAAGATAAAATAAGCTTTTAGATTCACAACAAGCTCTTTCAGTTTCCTGACTAAAGGAAGCAGCATTTGTTACCTGGATCCTGCCTTTTCAGGGTCTTGCCTCACTTCCACTTGCATGAGCAGGCTCAAGAAGAATTTCAAAAGCTTCAGACAATTTTGTATATCTTTTATAAGAAGCACCCATCAATATTTTTCAGAGAAAAGCTGAAGGGTCCTTACCTTGCTCCTTGATTAAACATTTACTGACTGCTAATTTGGTAATGCATTACTCCTACAAAAGATAGCTTGCAAAGCAGTGGAGAGATGGGTCTGAAATGTCTGCCTATTCCTGTAGCCTTCACATCCTGTATGCTCATACAGGATTATTAATCTTTGTCAGGAAGGTCAGGAAGCATCAAATAGTGATTAATGGTAAGTTGCAGGGGTTTCTGATAACTGAGCTCCAGGGATTGTGGTTGAAACCTGCTAGATGGCTATTAATACCTCCTTTGCCCTTCCTGTAATTCGCTGCGTCTGCAGATGACTGTTGAAGAATTGCTGGCTTTTCATCTTGCAAGGACACTCACCACCCAACTCTCTCCTCAACAGGGTCAACATTTGTAGACCTTTTGTATTGCCAGTTGGGCACTAATGAGAGAGCATCAATAGATCAGGAACACCTGCATCCACACTTCTTTCCCTGTCCACAGTTCACCATGGTAGGCACTGCCCTCTGAAACAAGCTCACGCATAGCAAGCAGGAGTATGTAAAAGGTAAGATAAAACATTCTGTGTCAAAGGAGTACAAAAAGAACAAAGACTGTTACTTACTGAAATCTGGGCAGGAAGTTTTTCTGTGCTCAGATAATTTTAATCACATTGTTAGAGACTTCATCCAAGGCTGCCTACTTGGGGAAAAAAAAAGCCAACAAAAAGCATGCAAAAAATACCCCTAAAACCTCACAAAAAACCCCTTTTTTAAACACTAAGCTTAGAGAATATGCATCCTGCTAAAATGTATAACACTATATCAAAACAGAGTCAGGAAAATTCTGGCAGGAAAACATGTGGAACCCCAGTGTGGATGCTCATCTTGCTAGGATAGGAAGGAAACAAAGCCATATTTTCTGTCTTTGGGAAATGTTCCCAGTGATTCTGAACCCTTGCTCCTTACACTAGAGCACTGACTCTCTGCTGCTTCCAAACCATGGGTAGAGTTTCAGGGTAGGAATGCATGGCAAGGTCAATTAATCTCTCTATCCTTTCTGGTCAGAATGTCCATGCTAGGAGTAGAGATACTCCCACAGGTTGTGTTGCATGTGTGGAACAAATTCTCCAAAACACAGCTGGGGAGAAATTGTGGCTAGACATTAGGGAGATACCTTGCATGGACATTTGAAGATGCTTCAGTGTCTAATCAGTCCATTATGGTGTAATTTAAGTACAGAAGTGCCTTAAAATTCTTTCACTGCTGTGTCATTTTTCAGATATCTAAATATATTCTAAAATTTAGTTCTGACAGGCTACTTGAAAAAAAGACCTTTCAGCTATGTGTTTATATGATTGTTCCTCTAGTTAATTAGTCTCTATTCCCACAGTAAATTGAAATAATAAATTCATAGTGCAAGCAAAAGTGTGTGCTTGCATAATCCATAATGATATCCACTTTTGAAATAGGAAATGCAGAGAAGCAAGTGTATGGAAATCTAAATATTTGAAAATTGCTTTTTTTTGTTTTTAGGATGCCTCTTCCTGTGTCCTCTAAACTGTGTCATGAATGCTGTCCTGGAAAACCACTGTATCTTCACATAAATAGTCCTTACAGAAGGATGCTGTAAGCAGTATCAAATTAGCTGCCATAGAATTTGGCCACTTAATGCTTCTGCTGTCAATGTCACACCCCATGCTGAGTCACTGTGAAGTGATTGAGCTGATATAAGCAAATGCATTGACTAAGTCATTCATTTACATCCTGCTGCCATGAGTCTAAGAAACTGCTAAATGTATTAAATAATCAATCCACTCAGCAGCTGATGATGCAGAAGTAGAAATTAAGTCCTACTAGGTTTTTATTATTGCTGTCAGAGAGGCTCTTTGGATGCTCTGAACGTGTGCAAAAGGATAACAATTCAACAAATATAGCTCACATTTAGAAAAGTCTGAATGACTTTTGAAAGAAAAGACATAATAATACAAAGAAACTGGAGAGATAATAACATATGGTTATTTGTTAGGGGATGCAGCATTCTGTGAGTCCACTGTACAGATTTGAAATGTGTGGACTACAGTATGTGTCTGGCTGTTCAATGCTTAATGCATTAATGATACAGAATTTTCTGTAGGTTACAAATTATTCACTGACAGGGATATATGGACAGCATCACTCTGTATTATTTTTTACAGTCATGTCATTATGCAATATACATAATTCTAAAATGTCAAAAAAAAACCCCATTAGTTAGGGAAAAGGCAATGCAAGGACTCACCAGAGAGTGCTAAAGAACCAAAGGAATCAAAAACATTTCATGCCCCATGGAGCTTTGTTATATGGATATTTCAGTTCTGTGACTCTTGTAAACTTCACCAGAGGTAAGAACATTGAGATCATAAATGCTAGTTACAGCCACCATCATTTAACTTTTATGTTAGTTTTACTTGTCTGGTGTAGGGCTTAGGTCTATGTCACATCCAGAATTATTCTCTATGTTAATTCTGAACTGGACCTTGTAAAAGCAAAGACAAAAATGTTTTGGGAATAACAATGCAACGTGTCTGATTATCTGTCTACTCATATCCAGCAGACCAAATTGTGAAGATTCATTAACGTGCCTCTGTTCCACTTACACACAGGCATAGACAGATATATAAAATAGAGAATATATGCTCAGTGTTCTCTGAACAGTGGGCCTTATTGATATCACACACTGACATCAAAACTTGACTTTACAGAGGTCACAGCAAAACTCCCAATGATGAAAAAGGGCACAAGTTTCACTTCTAGAGCTTTACTCTGCTTTCTCCTCTTTCATGGTAAGAATGAGTGTAATGAGAAGCCCACTCTGAAACAAAATTTTTAAAGGTTGGTCTGATATTTTGCTTTGGAGTAGTATTTATGAACTGAACATTATCATAAACAGCCTGGTTAGAAGGAAAATTTATTGCTATACAGAGAGCTGATAAATAATACCAGAAAACAAAGCAAAAAAAATTCTCAAGTGTTTAATATAATTGCTTTTATTTGTGAGAAAATTAGTCCATTCTCTTTAAAGTGTGTCATTTGGAAGTAGCAGCAACACTCCTATTTCTAATGAAGTGTAGGCGGTGGAATGGAAACATCTGCAAAACAGCACTTCTACAGTAAATGTAAAGGGATTGCCAAAGACATGAATATTTGATCCTATGATTTAAACAAGAGAAATATCAAAACAAGAGTACTACTGAGACTTGCATAAAGGCTAAAAATAACTTGATACAGGAAATATAAAAACATCTAGTTCAGAAGGAACTGAAAAATAAATCATACCACTTTAGGAAGGCCTATAAAAAAGAGAAGCAAACAATTAGAAATGTAAGAGGGCATAAAAGAAAGCAAACGAGGTGAAAACATAGGTCATAATTTTAAAAATAGAAGGAAATCAGAACAAATGATTAATCAAATTAAACTGATTAGCAAGCACAGTAATAAAAGCATACCAAGAGAAGGAGAAGGACTGTTTAGGGCACTACAGCACGAACAGCTCAGCAGGGATGGTCTAGAGAGGTGGTCTTTACTGTAGCTATATTCCTGTACTAGATTTGTTTACCAAAATAGTTTCACAAAATGCTTTCATAGAGGACAAGGAAAAAATAATTCTTCACATGGTATTAGCTCCTCCTGGGTTTGGATGCTATATATTGATGAAAGACATGCAAAACATGTATCAGTATTTGTTATTTTTCCAGACAGACAGCTACTACATGGGATTCCCATTGCCATAAGGTATCCCATGGCATTCATCCCAAAGGGTAGAATGAGCTGGCCTCACAAATGTGAAAATTTAAAAAGCAGCGCATGTATTGCAAATGAGACAAGATAAAGGTCAACAGAGTAATTTCCTTAACAAAGTTACTCTGGAAGAAAGTTCAAGACTTTTTTTCAGCATTGCACTAGTCAATGAGAATTAGAACTTTCATGAAATCTCCTTTTCCCCTTGGTTAAAAAAACCAACATAAATACAGTGAAATTTGTCGGATAAGAATTAAGATTTCCAAGCAACAACCATTCATCCCCATTACATTAAATCCCCAGCTGCCAAAAGGTGCTTTTTTGTACCATAGATAGCTCCCATTGCTCTCAAATTGCTTTACTGCACTGCTTTAGTTTGTTGATTCACTACAGATTTAAAGGTAATGAGTCTGGCACTGTCCAAAGCACCTCATGATCCTTCCTCATACTCAGCTAAACACAATTAGGCTGGAGAAATCCAGTGCCATTGAGTTCTCATGGTGATTAGTGGCAGCCTGAAAGAGTCAAGAGTGAAAAGAGAGCCTCAAAGGGGGTCTTTGCTAAGCCAAATAGGTGGTTGCAAAGAATTAGCTCCTTATTGCAAGTCAAAATTCAACCATACTAAAAGCCTGCTTACAGCACAGTTGCTAAGAAAGCTTCCCACAAGAATGCTACAAAGAATTGACCAAAATTCACCTGTCATAGGAAATAGATGATAAGGAATAGAGAAAGGGAGGAAAAACAAATGCTAAGGAGAACATAATAGATTGTGAATGCAAAGAAAAATTTTAGAATTATAGTTTAACATATAGTTATGTGACTATATAAATAAACTATAAATAGTTTCTAAATGTAGTTTACCATATATTTAAAATTTAAGTTTGCTTGCGTTGGCTTTACTATTGCCAATGGTACTGCTGCTCTTCTATTGCCTGTTATTGCCTGGGACCCTGATTTGTTGCCTCTGTTGATTTTGGCTGTCGGTTCCCAGAATTTGATTGATTATTGTGAGCAGTGAGAGAATTCTCTGGTGAAAAACAGCCACATGCTAGAATTTACCAAAACAAATAATTGGTAGGATTGTGAATTTATACTTTCTGTGTACAGTGTAGGAATCTAAAATGAATATGAAACCTAGCTTTATAGGCTGTTTCTTTAAACTGGGTCAAGGAAAGATTATGGTTACATCATTCAGTTTGCTGCACAGTTGAGCAGCTGAGGAACTTTCCCATTTATTTGATAATTATTATGGACTATGGAAATCTCAACATCACGCCATGCTTACTGTCAGAGCCTCCAGGACTTCAGAACGGAGATTATACTGCAGTGATGTCACTTGTAGGCTGAATATAAACACTGTAAGTGTAGATATAAGGGGGATAGTTACATAAAATTAATAGCAAAAAAATGTCTTTGTACTCCCTGAAGCAAGCAACAAAAGCGTCTTTGTGTGTGCAGTTCTACACAGATTGCTGTTGCCAGCCAATTGGGCTATGACCTAGAACTTAGCCAACTATAAAACCAAAAATAAACTACAAAGAGAGCAACTCTTCACACTGATGGTAAGTTCTCAGAGGCTAGATCATAAAAAGAATAAAGTTTTCAGTATAACATAATAGAATTATCTCACTATCTCATCATTTCTGATTTTGTTAATACAGACAAAATGAAGGACTGTAAAAAAAAATCAATCTGCTTTTATCTAAAGTCTTTATACCACGAACAATCCAAGAACAGCAGGGTTTGTGAATTCTGGAGCAAGACTGATATAGAAGATCTGTTTTAATGGTAAAATCACAGCTGCATTGCCTTCATGAGCACAACAGGTTTACAAGGTGGATCTGAGTACATAGTTAGTTTTTATATGCCAGTGTGATGGGATATGAGAGGCTGTTGTAGGTCTGTCCTTTCCAATTACTGAGTTTATCTGCTTATGTTTGAGCTCAGACTTTTGTCATAAGCACCATAAAAGGTGGAAACTGCATAATTTCTCTGCTGTTACACCTGATGATCAAGTACTGCCTAGCACATTCCCTGCATTTATGTCAGCTTTTCTTCATTTTGCTGCTAATCTCTAGTTGAGAGCTTACACAGCCCGGGAGCAGTGTCATACTGCTCATTCTTTCAAACTCATCTTTTGTTGTTCCTTACAGCTGTGCAAAATGGATCTCATGGAACTGTTCGGTGCAAGATGATATTTAAAGCTCCTTTTCTGCACAAGAGGAGATGACCCCACTGACAGCGAACTTCCAACAGAAGGTTCCTAATCCTGAAGTGCTAGCCCAGTGAGATATTAAAGGAAATATGGGGGCAATGGGTATCAGATGCACAACATTCTGAGGAATGTTAAACCCCTAGTAGAGCAAGGTTAAATCCAGAAAAGCCAGTTACAACTCTGTGTCTTGCAGACAGAGTCACTCTTTGGGGCTACCTGGGGCTACCTGTGACTGCCTGCTCATAAATTTGGAAATCACAGCCAAGAGATGCTAAGCACTTCCCTAATATTCACTCTCAGTGAGAGCTAGCATCAGGGTTTTTGGAGCCTATCCCTGGGTTAAAGTAAGAAGCCTTCCCTTTTTCTCTCCAACTCTACTGTGACTTGCATGACTACATAACAGTCCCAGGGATGCCCATCAAGCCCTGATTGCTCACCCCTAAAACCAGCTCTGCAACCAGCCACTATTGCTTGTCTGGCTGTCTCTCTTAAGAACCCAGGGCAGAGAAAGGTGCTCTTGTTCATTGTGATAGAGCTTAAAGAGAAAAATTCCAACAGCTTTTGTATTACCAAAATGTTTTGCCCTTTGTAGAAAGCCCTGAGCAGCATACCAACAAAAACATGACCTTCCTGCACAAATAATGACATATGGAAAGGCAGCTCCTTCTGCAGGGCAGTGGGAACTTTAGGTTATGAGTGATGAAAATCTTCAAGGGCACTTTGCTTGAAATGGTGCTGTGTACTTTCTCTGCCCTAGTGCAGACACACCACTTATCACTCTAATTGAATCAGTGAATTATTCTTATAGACAAAAGCAGGCATTGGCATTCCTGGAAGGCTGTGGAAGATGCAGGGATAAAGACAAGTAGGTCCTCACTGTCTGGAGCACTATGTCAGTGTCATTTCATGTACGTGTAGTGCTAACACCCATGCTATGGTAGCACTCTGAGACAAAGTGACATTCTTATGTATCTAGATGTGTTACCTCCCACATGAAGGGACCTTTTTCTTCTTTGTGGGACATAACTTCAGCATGTACAATAATGCTTTTCTCATTGGGCTCAGAGACCCATAGCAATTCCCAAAACCTGAACATCTGATCACCATTGTTCTGGTTTTCCTTTATAATTTTTATGGTTTTTACAGTTTTGTATAAATGGCCTTCATATTTCAATGTCTCAGTTCATTACAATGACCAAGGGACAATTCCCTTTTAGTTTGGGATACCTGAAGCTCACCATGCAGAATGGCTCAAACTTCAGCAGGAAAAGAGACTGGTGCCCACCCTCTGCTGGCACATCCAGCTAGGACAGCACTTGGTCATTCAGCCCCTTCTCGGCTGACAAAAACTTGACTCCTACTCCCTCCTCTAGAAGTATTAAGGTATTTTCAATGATGACTAGGTGCAGAACACCAGAATTTCATCTTCTTTTAGGTCCCTAAGTGCCAGGATGGGAAAAAGTTCAACCATACTTTGCCAGGTATCATTTCTCACGGGTAAGCAGCTCAGTTTGTCACCAGCTGTCTCTGCCAAGAGGCACCCAGGGCTCTGCAGCTGCGTACAACATTCCTGTGTGGAAAGCTGAGTGCCTGACCTGTCTGCTCAAGACCATCATGCAGGGACAGCTGCCACACTGTTAGGTAGTGCAACATTTCATGGCAGTGCCTAAACAGGAGACTGGCCACAGCCTCTCTGCTCCTCCCAGCTAAAAGGACAATTTATTGGTAATTCAGTGTCTCACTTTTCTTAGATTGCATGTATTTTGGGGTCCTGAGTTCTGAAAATTTGAGGCCAACAGCACTCTGAATATTTAATGACTTAAATACGAGCTATGTGTATAAAACACAGTGGTTTTTTTCAGATCCTAATCAAACTGGGGTGGGGACTTTTCTTTGTAGGTGGCCTGCAGTCGCCTAAAATCCACAAGACATGTTGCTCAGTGAATTCTGTTGGTAGAATACTGGCAGCAAATGAAACTCCAAGACATGGGTGAGGCCAACTCATACTAAAAATGTGAGAAATATTAGAGGACTTTTACTCATCCATTTTTCACTGGGGATGTGAGTGTTTGGCACAAAATATTGTAAGTTGATATCATATTTGGCCCTGTGATTGATGCTCATATCTCTGCTACTGAAGTCCAAATTATGGAATTACTTTTGTCATCTTGGGGCACCCTCTAAAGATAACCTGAAATGGAAAAACTCAGGAACTAGCTCTTCTCCAGAAGCAAAACAACTATAAGTAGTTGTGCAGAAACAGACTCACTTTAATCCCAGAAATAAAAAGGGAATAGAGTTGGTAGGAGAAAAAGAGACATGTTGTGAAACAAATATTCTCCGTATTGCCTCCAGTCCAGCTGGGAGGAATTCCCTGGGCATTTTACCAACAGAATACTTATAGTGAAAATAAATAAAGCAATCTATGTATGTTTGAGATACAGATACAATTAATTTAAAAAACCCAAACAACAAACCACCAAACAACCCAATGCCGAGAAATCCACATCCCAATCCAATCAGTAAGAGTCAAAAAATCAGCTTCAGAAAATAACCCTTCTTGGATCATTGTGTATGTGTGTGTGTGTGTGTGTGTGTACTTCTTCTGGGTCAAATGTAGTAGACAAGGAAAGCAGATTATTGAGGCTGAGAAAGAAAACTCTAATAAAACACCACAACCATCAGTTCTGTGCTGCTTATGACATCTCTGGGGTTTTCTTGGTTTTTTGATTTTATTTTATATTATCTGGAAACATATATTTAGAAAAAAGTGTCAGTGAAAATCTGTTTAACTTCATAACCATAGATCCTTTAGAGTTTTCTTTTTTTATTTTTTACACAGAATAAAACCTGATGTGGAATGGAGGAGTGAAAGGATGTCTGTTTGTAAGAAAAATAAAGTAAATGAGTAAAATTACAAACAAGTGGAAAAAAAGTTTTATTTCCACATGAATGAAAAGTCTCACTGAGCTAAGATGAAAAATATTCAATTTTAGTTTATAAAAACTTCTCCATGCAAAGAATGATAAGTTGCAAGTGCTACTTCTTGTATAAGGCTTGGTGATTTTAAACCATTATTTTTTGGCAGTCACCCTAATCTGATTTTCCAATGCATTGTTTCCCTCTCAGCCCATTATCATTTATTACAGACACATATAAACCCAGCTATTTTTATAGCGGTGTTTTTATTAGTCCATTTCAATTATGTTGTTTGTTTTGCAGACTGTAATGACTTTAATCCTCATTTAAATACATAAAAATGCATTATCCAACAGCTAATTATTAGAATATGTGGGAAATTATGATTAATTACCCCCCATAAAAGCCATTTGTCTCATGTAGATATCTATTGTGTATCTACTAAGTATTTTAAAGATAGTGAAGAAAAAGCTTTTTGAGAGAATAAGGATAATGCAAATGAGAATTCCTCCTCACTGCAGCTTTGACACCATAATTAGTTCACTTTCCTCCCGAAAAGATGATGAGAGGGGCATGGGGGAAAAACATGTTATCTAAGTAACAATGACTAATAAAAAGGATAATGAAATAGTGACAGCTTTTTCTAATTCAGAGAGAAACATTTGTAAAAAAGTCCTGCTGCTGCACTCCCAGCACCAGGACTCCAATATTTTTCACTTGCATGTAATCAGAATATGACTAACGATGCAAAAAAAAGTTTTCATTATAATTCTATAGCAAATTTTCATAAATTGCCACCACCTGCTTTCAGACTGGAATTGTACCACTATACCATAAAATTGCACTATAAAAAATTTCAGAACAATGTTTGAAATAATTAGATATGGGAAAACTTGGAATTCTAACAGGAATATTTTCCTTTTCTTTCATCCCCAAAAGTCACATTTATTTTTCTAGCATCTAAAATACCACCAAAGGAATGAAAAGGAGATTGCCTTCACAGATTAGCAAAACCTTTTGTAAGTCAAACAAATATTTCAGTAGTAATTTCAGTGTGTTTTTATGCCTGAAAACAAGGCAAGCCCTTAGGTTTGCCAATCCAGAGTGAGGAAATGGAAAAGCTACACTTGTTCACCCAGAAGTAGTTAAACACCTAAAAACCACACCAAGACACATGTCAGAGCCTCGTTCCCAGACATTTTTCTGTTTCATTGTGAAAAAATATTTCTAATGAGCAACGAGCAAGGTATGGCAAAGCAGTCAAAACATTTTGAATGCAAACTCTTACAATTGTGTTTATAAGTTAGCAGGCAAGAAAATATTCTGGGCTTAGCTCTGTGTATAAACCCTACTATTCCTGCTTGAAATTTGAAATTGCTAACAAATATTTACCCCTGTGAAAACCTGAATTATAACATCTTTCCACAGTGGGGAAATTCCAGCAAGCCCTTCTGTGAAAAACAGCATGCTTTCTTCTATCAAAGCTTGTACCATGGGGCCAACACAGGTTATCTCAGATTCACTCTAAATGCTTTTGTTTCTGTTGGATATTATCACATCTGTGGGAATTGCTCTACTCCTGAACCTAGAGACTGCAGGGAGAGAATGAAAATAGCATCTCTACACTATGCTATTGCTCTTAAGTAAAACCATGGATCACAGGTAAGATGGAGAGGGAATTGAAATCCTTCTACAGCAAAGCAAAAAATTATTTTAAGGCCTGAATTTTATCCTTTATTCCACCCCTCCCAAAATATACTTTTTCTGGGTAAATTTTCCTGGATCCTCTGTAGGTCTTGTCTGTCTAGACAGCCCAGATACTAACTAGCCACAAAAGGATTCTTTCTTCTCTACTCATCCCTGTGTGTGCTCCTTATTCAGCCTCCTGGCCTCAGCTCTCTAGAAGGGCAAGAGTGGATGCTCCTGCCTCCATGGGCAGGTGCTTTCAGAAACTCCCTGTCAGCTACAATGGGACGGCTTTGCATTGAATTTGTTGTGTCCTTTGAGAGACACTTAAAATGAGATGGAAGATTCACCTGAAGACCTCCCAGGAGTTTCAAAATTGGTTTGGTGATACAGTCAACCACCCAAGTTTATAAAGCAGCTTGCTGATGGAGCAGGCTGAGTGCTTTGGAGACATGGCTGCAGGACATGGAGTTATTTCTCATGCAACTTCCTATAAAACAGTGACAGAGTTTTTAGCTAATTGTCTCCAACAAGAATGAGACACCTTTGATTTTCAGGTGAGTTGTGGCAAGGATGCAAATATTTGATCAATACATAATGAGATAAAGAAGCAAATAATTATGGCCAGTTAAGGACCAATATGAAAGACAAGGGAATTCTACTGCTTTACGCCCCCCATCATATTATTCTTCAGCAGATCATAAAGAGTAGCTTTATTTAAACTCATTTAGCTATATGTCACACCTGCATCACTTATTATTTGGGGTTTTTGTAATATTCCTTCAGTTATTTTTTTTATCTACAGTGAGACACTATGTAATTACATCACAGTGTTAAATGTGACTGTCTCTTAGAAGGTCAATAACTAACTTTAATATTATTGTGGAAGAACACACCTGGAGACACAGAGAATGAAACATCAAATTCAAACACATTATGTTGTAATTTGAACGTTTTTAACTATGTAAATCCACTAACACAAATCTTTAGTTTGAAAGTGGGAAGGTTTTAAGATCACTAAGAGGGTCTGTAAGTATTTAGGGTTCACCAGAAGATTTTTAGGTATGGTTCATTTAGGACTCCCAATATACTTAAAAATAGGTTGTAACTGCCAGTGTACTGTTTAAGTTACAATTCTCAGTGCTATCTCAGAAACAGATGCCATAATTAGCCAGTCTGTAATCCTGACAAAAAAAAATCTTCGGATCCCTGAAAAGCGTTGGTGTTTATTGCTGCTGTTCTACAAGGGTGTGGGTTTTTCATCAAAGACCACTGTAGACCTCTTACACTACCAATTCAAGCTCTATAACAGATTTTATAGAGCTAGCACTTCTGTGCAAAGAGGTGACTATTGCATTAAAGGTGTTTATGCACAGCCGTTGTATGGTTGATTTTCTGGTCAGATCTAATTAACCTATGCTTGTCTCATCCACTTCTAGAAGAATGCAATCAATGCAAATATAATTAGTGCTACTAGAACTAATATTCTTTCCAACTTAGAAATATAAATAATTATACAAATACACCTCTAAGTAAGCCCCTGAAAACAAAATATGAATATTGTCCCCATAAGACTTTGTTCACAGTACACTTATATCTGGAAATTTATCAGTACTGTTCACTCAGCTGTATCCCTATCAAGTAAATAGTAGTAGTGTAGAAAATTTTATGGTCAGTTTTAAAAAATAATTTCAAATAAGCAATGTTCAAAAGCAAGCTGATGGCAAACTAGCACACATGGATTGAACATTCTGGAATGACTTCCAACCCTCCTCCCTTCCATCCCTCTGTGTCTACTCCCAGTTTCTGTTCTTACAGTAAGGAGAGCTGAGTGGGACAGAGGGTGATTCTGGAATCATTACAGCATTTTTCTCAGTATTACCAAGCCAATCCAAGCCTCATTCAGAGGCATCTTCATATGTCAGGCTGCAGACAGCATTGGTACAGAACCTGTATCTTATATGGTGCAGCTTCCAGGAGGTCAGGTTGGACAGCTTTGTCACATTTTTAGATGTTCTGGTTTAATCCAGATGTGTCCAGGAGATGACACCTGTGCTCACGCTAAATTTTAAGAAATGTTCAGTCCTGTAAATTAAGATATTCATGTAATGAACACTGAGAAGGGAGACAAGAATAAAGGAAGAGGGAGACAAGAATAAAGGAAGATCAACTGCTTCAAAGTCGTCCTTGAGGCAGAGACATTAAAGAAAAACAATCAAGTATGCTTAACTTACCTGCTCAAATGAGAGAGAGTCATGCACACTGTACTCTCTGATGAAAAAAATCATGTCATGAGTGCAGGTACCTGAAGTAAAGACACAAATTGTAGGAGGAATCTAAGGATATCTAAGTATCTAAGTATGTTAAATGTCAGATAACTACATGATTGAGTCAGCATATTGAATAAGCGATGATGATAATAATGATAAGTGCACAAACACACAAGAAGAAATCACAAGTGTATCCTGAGAGGAAGAAAGAGGCAGCAGTGCTCCACCTATGCAAAATTTCAATCATGCAAAAACAATTTGAGCTTTTTCCCAGCACATGCAAGGTTTACAGTGCAAACTTATTTGGTTACATACTGGAGGACTGGGGAAAAAAAGTGATATTTGTAAAAATTCCTTGGTTGGCCTAACAGGCTGGAATAACACTACAACAAACAAACTAACAAATCATTTCCCCCTCCCAAAACCCAAGGCAACAGCTGTGGGCACCAGACATGAAAATAACCAGAGCTAAAAGCTAACAATAGATCAGCTACAAGTTCAGACTGCCTAGAATAGAACTCCCTGGCTCAGAGTGCTTCATCCTGGAGCTTCAGAGAGAGGAGAAAAGCCATTCTGCAACACTCTGCAGAGCAAACCTCCACCACAGCAGTGAGATTTGGCTCTTTCATGGATAGACGAAGCCAAACTGTAAGCAAATAAACCAGGCAATATTTCACACCCCTCGTGGGTCATAAACCCAAAATTAAGATATAACCAGTGTCTGGAAAGGATATAGAAGACAGATCTAGCAAAAGTGCAGGAGCTGAATGCCAAAGAGCTAGAAACAGAGCATAGAGAAACACGCAAAACAGTATCATAAAGTATGCTTTAGACTTTCCACAGTAGCTTCATTTCAAGTGGTATTTCTTTCTCCCTATCCTTCTTGCATCAGGTTGGAGGGAGCAGAAGGCCATCAAAGGGACAGGGTTTTCATTTCCACCCCACTGTCATAGAGTTCTGTTTCTTAGGGGACAAAAACAATCTCCATGAGGGATTTTCCCATGCATGAAATGGGTTTGAAAACCAATAGTATCACAAGAGTAGCTGTTTAGAAGACTGTGTCCCCCTGATGGGATCTTCCTATGTTATCACACTTTTATTTCTTTGCAGCCTCAAGTAGTAAAATATAGGAAATGACATGTATATATAATCCCTATATATTTTTCTAGTATTATTCATACTGTTCAAGGTACTCTTACTCACTCCACACATCTTGGCAAAATATGCTGGAATATACAAATAGTCATCTTTTACTACTTGGTTATGACCATT